AAATTAGAGTGACATGACCACAAGGCATGCCAGAAGCTACCAGAAGCTGGAATAGTCAAGGGATGGACTCTCTAGAGCCTTTGGGAAAAGTATGGCCCAGCTGATACCTCGATTTTGACCTGGTGAACCTGATTTTGAACTTGTGGCTTCCAGAACCATGAAGGAATAAATTTCTGTGTTTTTTTTTTAAAGCCATCAAGTTTGTGATAATTTGTTACAGCAGCCCTGGGAAACTAATATCTTAGTTATACATAATATAATGTCACAATAGTAAGATAAAGGAGAAATTGAAACAAAGTAAATGCTATTGGTGATGTGGTTTTCTACTTAGGAAACTATTTCTGACAAAGCTCCAAACAAAACAAGTTGTCTTTTCTGCATTTATGCGGTCATTGTATTCCTGTAATTGTTTCCATAGCATTGACTATGTGCTTGAAACAGAGAATATTTAATAAAAACTGGATACATGGATAATGAATAGATGGATATATTAAAACTACAGAAGGATTACATTTTATAAATCTCAAAATTAACCTGCAAGGCAAAAATTATGTGTAGTCAAAATTATCTTTAAAAATTCCTTATATAGCTTATAAAATAGTGTTCAATATCCACATGACACGTTGAAGATTGACATACCATTTCTTAATATAGAAATGACAGCTTTCTTCCCCCTAATCTCCCAGCATTGGTTTGGGTATTATATGAAGGCTATGGCTTGCTTTAGGGTCATGATGAATTCTATTCCATACTGTGAGGTGCTCTCACTGTGAGGGCACATAAGAACTGAAATGGACTGAAAGACAGTAGAGTCATATTTCCATTACAAAGCTCACTGTGGACATTTGCTTATCATTTGGAATGTTAGTCACTTATCAACAACTATATTTTCATCTTTCTTTTTTTTATTAGTGATCATAGTTCAATAGACCCACAGTTAATTAAGTGGGCTGATTATGTGGCTTTGTCTTTGTGGATTGCTGTACTTGTCTGATCCTTTTTAGTGGTCAGTGGTTCTTGAGTGGGATTCATTTTTCTTCCCTGGGGCATTTTGCAATATCTGGAGAGATTTCTGATTGTTACACCTAGGGATTAGAGAAGCCTGGTTAGGTAAAGTGCTGTTGGCATCTAGTAGGTAAAGGCTAAGTATACCAGTAAACATCCTACAATACACAGGACAACCCCCAACAGCAAAGGATGATCTGGGCTAATACATAGCAGCAAGGTTGAGAAGCCCTGGGCTCCACTCATGGAGTGATTCCTTCATAGTGTTTACCTTGACATTAGAGTAAGTGCTTCCTTAAGCAGAAGCTAAATTTTTTGTCATTGGACTGTAGAGAAGGATGAGTCTCTGCAGGGTTAAACACTAAAATTAACTTTCTGATTTTTATCAAAAGTCATGTCACACGTCTGTGCTTATATGTGTGTACTTATGCAGTACTTGGGGCAGTTCTCCACCACTTCTTCCCTACTTCTGTTCCATTTCCCTGAGTTAGCAACATTTAAAGAGTTTTTGTTTTTGAATCTTTTGGTGGTTGCCTTTCTAAGTCTAAGTAATATTTTTCTGTTGTTTTAAAAGATTATTTATTGGCTCTTCATTGCAAAAAGTGAGGATTTAGCTCAGATGCACTAATCCCTCCCCTTCCCACTTCTGATATTTCAGTAGTTTATATTCAGTTGTTCTTTCCTTTATTATTATGTAACACTGAATAATACATTTAAATCATTATTTTTGTTTCGTTGATTTTGCCCAGTATCTTTTGACTGTCTGCCTATCATATGATTTAGTGCTCCTATCCTTTCTTTCTCCTACCTATCCTCTCTCTGTATCTCATATTCTCTCTGCTCTACCTTCTCATTGTCAAGGTTGACAATATTTACTTTCTGTTTTGCAATATTTAAGTTGTTTGTGTTTTTATCTATAGTTTGAGTATAAAAGTTGAAAACTAATGACTAGTGTTTATAGACTATGATTATGTATGTATTGTTCACTGAAGAGCTAAGTAATATACTGGGATCCCAGAACCCTCCTCTGTGTGTGCAGTATCACATCCTCTGTGCCACTTGAAAGAATGTCCCTAGTATTCTAGTATTTTGCTTTATTTTATTGTACTCAGTGTGCTAAAATCATGCCACATTCAATGTACACTGACATTTTAAACATAAATTAAGAAAGCTCAGAATTGGCAATAAAATTGCATAGTGTATATTCAAAAAATGAATGACCTGCATGGATACTATTACTAGGAAAAGAGCCCAGAGGAAAATGATAGAAAACACAAGAAAGACAAGAATTTCAAAATAATAAGGGTACATTCCAAATGGCCAACTTTCTGAGAGTTGAGCAGTATTTGAATAATTCATGTCCCTCAATCCAGATCCAAGGATAATATTGATGCTGCTGAAACTTGGGTTTTGTAGTATAACAAGAGTTTGTTAATTGCCCTATTTCATTGAGTGAAAAATGCAAAGCAGACAGAACACTGGAGTAACTAGCTGGAAATATTTCACTATTTCATGGGAGGCTGCTTTCCAAACTACTCCTATGGAAGCCAAACTCTTAGCCTTGTTAATATAGCACTAAAGTGTGCCTTGATGGTACATTAAAGAAGAAATTTACTCGATTAAGATTTATAGCCTTTCTGCCCCCTTAAAACAGAGCATTGGTTTCTTTAATATCAAAAATAATTTTCTAAAATGAATTGCTAATGATTTCTTTTAGTTATTTATTTAAGGTGGGTTATATCAAGTACTGCTTGTATAAATTCCTGTAAAAGACTGAATTAATTTCATAATTGTCATAATTAATGTTATTCCTGTTTGGTAGGAATATGCTCTTAATGTGACTGTTCATCACCACATCTTATTTTTGTATCTCCCAAACATCTTTTATAAAACATTGATCAAAAGAAAGAGCTCCAAAAAATCCCCAATTAGTAGACTAAGCAATACTTAAATTATTAAATATCAGAAAAAATTTAAATTACAGCTTAAATAAAACTTGTCAGATATTTGGTAGAGGAAATGGAACTATACAAAAAATGTGGTTTTAAAAACTAAAGTTCTACCACTCCCATTATAGTCATTATCGGATATTTAAAACCCCTCCACAACAAAAAGAAGGAAGAAAAAGAAAGAAGACTAAACAATCGTTGTTACCATTTATGTATAATTCATTCCACTTTTAATTTTTTTTTCTTTATTTTAAAGATGTAGGGTACAATTCAGGGTTAGGCATACAAATGTTCATTATGCAGGTATCCTTGTTGGTGAGGTGTGTGCACCCTTCCCTCCCCTGGCAGTTTCCCTCAACTGCCAATCCCACGCCACCCCTGGCAGTTTCCCACTACTGCCAATCCCTTTCATACAGTATTATGATAATTGTTCAAGGTCCGCTTATGAGTGAGAACATATGGTACTCTGTTCTTTGTTTCTGTGATAGATCACTGAGTATGATAGACTAAATCCATCCAAGTTGCTGCAAAGTCCATATGTTTGTCTTTCTTTATGGCTGCATAATATTCTATTGTGTATATGTACCACATTTTTAAAATCTAGTCCTGCTTTGATGGGCAGCATGGTTGGTTCCATGTTTTCGCTATTATGATTAGAGCTGCAATAAACATGCCTGTGCAGGTATCTTTTTTGTAGAATGACTTGAGTACCTCCGGGTGTATTCCCAGTAGGGGAATTGCTGGGTCATGTGGAAAGTCAATTTCTAGTTCTTTCATAAATCGTCACACTGTCTTCCTAGTTTGCATTCCCACCAGCAGTGTAGAATCGTTCCTTTTTTTCCTCATTCTCGCCAACATCTGTTGTTGTTTGTTTTATTAATAATGGCCATTCTTCCTGGGGTTAGGTGGTATCTCAATGTGGTTTTGATTTGCATTTCTCTGATGATTAATTTTTTTCTTAAAATAATATTGGCATTTTAATGTTATTATAAACATAGTATTTAATAGGTATGTATTATTCTATCGGGTCTACCATAATTTATGTAACCACTTTCCTGTTGTTGAGTATGTAGTTTTGTTTTTTCAGGTAAACAGTAGCACAATTTGTATCTTTGCGTATAATGATGTCTCTTGATTTTATTTTTATTTCCCAAATATTGGGAAATATTGTTCAAATTGTATTTCAACAGTCAGTGCCAGTTTACACTCTTACCAGCATTTTAAGGAATTGCCCAAATGACAGAAACAAAGCTTTAAATTTCACTAGTGTCATTTTGGTTTATATGCCCAGATGCTCCAAAAAACAATGAAAAAGTGATGTGTGAAGATAAAGCATTTGACTGGCTGTGTATACATTTTATTTTAGTAAAGCATCACTGTTAAGACAGAAGCCATTATTCATATTCATGATGTCTCAGGCAAGGAAGAGTGCTTCTAATTTTTGCAACATAATGGAAGTCTGATGACAATGACAGAATTGAATGACTAGCCAGACATGCTTACTTTTTGGAAAGCTAGAATTAGGACTTGAGCACTATACTCAGTCTCCATTTAAGAGTCTAATGCTTTTTTCACTCTCAGTTTGGAAGTTTGCTGTATTTAGAGATATTCTTATAAAAATTTTTTTTAAATGGTCCAGAGAACAAGTTTGAGATTGCTAAAATGTGTGCCATTATTATCAGAGTTGCAATTAAAACTGTCTTCGTTAAGCTGTTAGTCGCCACTGAGTAAAAAGACATGCTTTTTAAACACATATGAAAATCATAGGCATTGTGTGTTATGTTTTGGGGTGAAAATTAAAAGTTTAATGAAGAAAATTTTCGAAGTCCTTTACATAAAATATCCAAGTAAGTTCGACCATCTTTTTTACATTGCCTTTATTCAAGGATATAAGGGAGATTTTTTTTTCTCGTATTTGTATTCAGTTCTGATTAGCCTGGGTCATAAGATTATACTGTACTTAGTTTGTAGTTATAAAATTAACTTTTTTCCCTTTAAGACCTGGCACACAACAGTTTTTTAATATTGTGATTTTTCTTTACAGCTGTAACATCTTATGAAGATCTTGGACTCTTTGCATATGGATTTCCTGGAAAGGTAATTTTTTTTCCTCCTTGTGTCCCTAACCCAATGTGGCATTTTTCCCTCTACGGTTTCAAGTTAGAAGAGACAAATGTATATTTAAAAAAGACACTAGGGGAACAAAATTAAACTAAAGTGAGAAAAGAAAGAATGATGAAAGCAGGGAGAAACAGAAGAAATCTCTCTACATGCTCTTCCTAAAAATTCATCAATAGCATTACTTCAACACTTAAACATCCTACTGAAGGAGTGCAATGATTTGAAGAATTTTTAAATAGTAGCAATATCCTGTTTTAACTTTTCATTGTTAATTTTGATTGTATGCTCTGAGAAAATTCTCATGAAGACAGAAGAAGAAAGCAGTATAGAATTAAAACTATAGTATGGCTAGATATAAAAGTAATAATTGAAAGATGATATCATTTAACACTTGAACAGTGCCAGAATGTTATCTGACTATCCCCTCATAGGTGAGGAAATTAAGGACCAGTGAAATTAAGGGACCTATTTATCAACAATTACATAAAGTCAGTATCACATTGTAGGATTCCAGGCTCTAAATCTACTGCTTTTCCTGCTCAGAATAAAAGAAATAGCAATATTTACTGGGCGCTCATACTAAACTAATTTAAGAGCTAGGGAAAAGCACTGTCTTCTTCCACAGGTTATGAGGAGTTAAACATTATTGTTAGTGCTGTAGTGCTTGTTTAAAAAAAAATTTCTGAAGTGCCACGATACTTCTAGAAATCCATATTAATTTTGGTTCCAAACAGGAATTTTTGTTTTTGTTTGTATTTCTTGTTTATTTTTATTGATAAATAAAAAATTGTATATATTTATTATGTACAACATGTTGTTTTGAAATATGTATACATTATGGAATGGCTAAATTGAGCTAATTAGCATTGTATTACCTCACATACTTTTTTATTTGTTTTGTTTTTTGTCTAAAAAGATAGTATATTTGTAGATGGCTAAACTAACTTCTAAGAAGTAAATCTGGGGAAAAAATATAACTGTGTAATGAAGAGAAAACCCTGTATTTACAGTCCAATTAACTTTGTTTTTAAAGTAGTAAAAGGAATGTTTTAAAAATATATAGCATTATGACTTGGACCTTAGTAACCTGAAACTTGAACAAAACAGAATATTTCACTTGAGGGTAAAGGGATTTGTTAATTATCCTTAGTAACAATTTTTCTTTTCTAGAGATTAGGATATTTGGTGCAATCAGTGATCAATTTCCTGCATCTAGTTTAATCAAGGAAGAAGAAAATGTTGTTTGTATAAGAAAATTCCCCAATTGATTTAATGTGCCTGTAAACATGAGTTTAAGTGCTATCACTGTTATTTTACATTAGTATTTTCTGCATTTCTTGTATAGCAGCAAAGTCTGAAAGAATATAGATTGTTGAGTCTTTTTTTTCCTAAAACTCTAGAGTAGTTGCATTATCATTTCAGTATGAGCACCCAGTTCATAGTAAGCAGGCACACTAGACAGCATACTCTAGTGAGGAGTTATTGTTGTTATCTGTTTGTTTGTTTATATTTTCTCCTTACTTCCACAGTAGAACTGAAACTTTCCTATTTCCTTCTCTCCTGATATGATATAATATGATAATATTGTTCTGAGAATCAAAGAAGTATTTTTGAAGTGTTTTTAACTTTTTAAGGAAGATTTTTGAATGTCTATAAATTGGTGTATTTACTCACCACACAAATATTTATTGATCACATACCATGTACCATACTAAGCACTGAGACATGGAGGGGTGGGTGGATGGGTGGATGGATGGATGGATGGATAGATAGATTTATTGATTGATAGATTGATTCTGGTTTTCTAGGTATTAAGTGCTTAAATTCAGCCAAAGAATGGAAAAATAATCATCAATAAGTTTATATTACTGCTTTTTTGCAAAGTTCATGTATAATTGACAGTGTTTTATTTGTACTGAAGATACTATACATAAATTCAAGAGTCTTTTCATAAATAACTTTTTCTTTTTCTTTTTTTTTTTTTTTTTT